GCCTTCTTGCTCTACGGTCAATTTGTTTGAGATAATGACCGGTAGTGTCTCTTTTTCTCCCAAGAACACATATTTCAAGTGTTTTGGGAGTGGTTTCATTTCAACTTCGGGTGCCTGCAAAACTGAAGGCAAAGGCTTTTCTTCGGGGATGGTTAGTGGAAATGCTCTCGACCCCGGTGGCATAAGTGGGAGTTGGAAGGGAGTATCCAATTCCACTATCATAGCTTGTGTGTTGGGAGTCAAGGCAAGTTCTAAGGAGTTTTCCCCGAAGTCATTCTCAAGTATACTCAACAATTCGTCTTCTCCATTAATTTCAAAAGTATTTTGTACAAGAGGGTCAACAATATCAATGGCAAATAAAGAATGATTTTCATTTGGATATTTCATGGAGTCATAAATGTTGAATTCAACTTTATCTCCATCAAATTCCATTGTTAAAGAGCCGCTAAATACGTCAATCTTTGCTCTAGCGGTTTTTAAAAATGGCCTTCCTAAGAGGATAGGAATCGCATTCTTATCATTCTCCATTTCCAAAACATAAAAGTCAACGGGGAAAATCTAATTGTCAACCATAACTAGTACGTCTTCGACAATACCTTTAGGGTAAACATTTGATCTATCCGCAAGTTGAATGACTACTCCGGTTTCATTTAGAGGGCCAAGCTCAAGGGATTTGTATAAAGAGTAAGGAATGATATTAATTGATGCTCCTAAATCGAGCATGGCTTTTGAAAACGTAGTTCCTCCCAACTTACAAGGTATAGTGAACATGCCTGGATCATTGTATTTCTTTGGGAGTTTCTTTTGAAAAACTGCCGAAACACGTTCACTAACTTGGACTTTTTGTTTTCCATTGAGTCTATGTTTCCTTTTTATTGTACATAGTTCTTTGAAAAAATTTGCAAATCTAGGTACACCCTTTATCAAGTTAAGGAGAGGAATATTTACCTCACATTTGGAGAATGCCTCATAGATGTCCTTGTCCTTCTCCAGCTTTCGCGTTTCCCTTAGAGCCTCGGGGAAGGGTGCTTCAATCTCGGGGATGACCCGTGGTGGGGTTGAGATTTGAACTTCCACCTCCGGTTGAGTTACTTCCACCAGCTCCTCTTCTTCCTCCTCTTCGCCAATGTGGCTCTTCGCCTTCTCCTTGGCAATAACCAACTCCTTGCCACTCCTTAATGTGACTGCATGGGCTTGTTGCCTAGGATTCGGCTCCGTTTGAGATGGTAGCTTTGCCGAATCCTTAGCTTCAAGCCTACTCACGTCATTTTGAGATTTGGCTGATTTGGCTTTCCAAGTTGTGGATGCTAGATTTTGTTGTTTCTTGAAATTGAACCACACTTTGTTGCATTGTTGCCATATTCATGGCAAGTGATCGAATCATGTCTTCGGTGGACATTTTCGAGTTCGAAGTTTGGCCTTGTTTTTTATATTGTTGAGGGGGAAGATTTGATGGTTGAGAGTTTCCGTACCTTAAATTAGGATGATCCCTCTATCCCGGATTATAGGTGTTGCTTTGAGGGTTATACCTCTTTTGATTTTGAAACCCCAAAGCATTGACTTGTTCGGAGTTCTCCTCTTGTAGCGTTGGGCAAGAGTCGGTGGGGTGCCCTTGTGTCGAGCATATGCCGCAGACCTTGACTTCTTGAGTTTTTCGATTTAAGAGAAAATCTTTAACCAAAGAAGTCAAGCCGGCTACTTGACTTTCCAACGAGTTGTTGGATTCTGCCGCCATAACTCGTTTTGATGACCGCCGATCATAGCGTCTACAATTCTCGGCCAACTCCGAGATAAGGTTTATAGCTTGAGAAGGAGTCTTGTTGACAATTCCCCCTCCACATGCGGCATTTATCATCCGTCTATCTTCATTGCAAAGACCATCATAGAAGTATAAGATGAGGTCTTGCTCCGAATAGCCGTGGTATGGACAGTTTGTACAAAGTTTCTTGAATCGTTCCCATTATTCGTAGAACGATTCATCATCCTTTTGCTCCACGTTGCTAATTTTCTTTTTGAGAAAGGAGGAGACAGAGGCAGGGTAATACCTTTCAAGGAAAGCTTTCTTCATGGCCGCCCATGTACCTATACTTCATGAAGGAAGATAGAATATCCAATCTTTTGCGGTATCCTTTAGAGAAAATGGAAAAGCCCGCAGTTTGATTTGTTCTTCTGTCACACCGTTTGGACACATGCTTGTGCAAACGACGTGGAACTCCGAGAGGTGTTTGTTCGGATCCTCTCCTCTCAGGCCATGGAAGGATGGCAGCAGATGAATGAGCCCATATTTTAGCTCAAACATATTACCCTCATCAAGTGTAGGGAAGGTAATACACAGTGGTTCTTGATTCAAGTTTGGAGCTGTGAGCTCCCTCAATGTTCTTGTTTCCAGAGCCATGTGGAAAGACTCTTCGGATTCGCTAGAACTAGAGCTAGCGGTGGATGAATCTCTGGTAGATGATTCTTCCGAGTCGGTATTAGAAAATTTATTTTTCAACCGCTCGAAAGTTTGTTCTATTTCGGGGTTGGTTTGATAGGTGATTTCGTTCAGTGAACGATATTTAACCATATACTTCAAAGCTCAGAAATAGAAAATTAAGAACTCTTTATATTTTTATTTAATATTTTTTTTTTTTGATTTTTTCTTGAAATGAAATAAAAGAAAAATTAATTGCCTTTTCCCCGGCAACGGCGCCAAATTTGACATGCCCTTGTCGTGAGGTGCACTCAAAATAATTACAATACAACGATTATACGTAGTATAACGAAGTAAGGTTCGTATCCACAGGGAAAGGAATACTTTTCTTCATTAATAAAACTTACTATCGAGTCAATATAGAACAAGCGCCGTATATTAACTTGATAGTAGCAATAAACTTAAGATGAAAACGATTGAGATTGATAACCTCAACACAAGCGGTTTATTGGTTTAATCAATATAATTAATTCCCCTTGGCATATTAACCATGAGATGCATGCATTAATAATCCAAGTTTACTACCGTTGAAAGAACCGGATTAATAACAAGCGTATTAACCGATTGATTCTAGTAATAATTAATATGAGAAACAAAACTAGTTGATACTTTAAGTAATGTTTAAAATATTAACATGAAATATGAATAGGAATTAATTAATACTCAAGGAAGAATATTAAAGAATATGAATCCTACTATGATTAATATCAAGATGTTAACTAATTGTCATCTGAGTAACACTCCCCAATATTAACATAGAGGAAGAAATAACTATTACTATAACCAATGTCAAGATGTTAACTAATTGTCATTTTAGTAACACTCCCCAACTTTGATATAGAAATAGTATTTTAAAGAAGGAATTAATATTCAAGGAAGAAGATTAAAGAAAATAACTCACAACTTACAAATTCATTAAGCTTCAAAGTAGCAAAACCAAGATGGAAGAGTTTAGCTCCTCATTTGGAGACTAAACATGATGAAAAATATAAAGAAAGAACTATTCTATACTGAGCTTAGATGTACAAAGGATTTGGATGATCATTTGTGAAGGAAAGGGGGTGTATTTATAGGCTTTTGGGATGGGATTCGGGTACTCGATCGGGTATATACATGGTACCCGATCGAGTATGTGTGTAATACCAGATTTGAGGTATACTTGATCGGTTTTAGACTATGTTCCAAAGGTATACTCGATCGGGTATATGTTTATACTCGGTCGAGTATGTGTAAAAAGTTATATTCGAGCCATACTCGACCGATTTTACGTTTAAGCTTAAAGGCATACTCGATCGGGTATGTCGGTCTACCCGATCAGGTATAGACACTCAATCGTGGCCGAAATCTTCCCGACATTTTCCCTTGTCTTCGGATCTGATCCGATTTGAAGTTTCAATCTAATACCCGATCGAGTATAGGTGATACTCGACCGAGTATAGACCAAAATTTCAGGATCCTTCTTTTGTCTTCAAATTATGCACTTTCCTTCCACTTTTTGGGGTTCACCAACTGTCCTTTGAGTGATCAAGACCTGTTTGAGCTCAGAATATACCTAATCTAAACTATTTACAAGAATTTAACAAACTAAACTATTACACCAAAACTGTGTAATTTCCAAAGTAAAAATCAAGCAAAACTAATTAAAAACGCAAACATAAACATGGAAATTACAAACGTATCAATAGCAGTAATAAATGCGATGAGAGCACACGTGTCAACAATCTAACGGTCGAGGGGTCACCTCAATCGGGGTGACACCAACATGCGCATGTGCATCACATTAAATGCGGTGAGTGAATGTGACGCCGCATTAAATGCGGCTGTTTCTTGTCTCCAAAAGGAATCTTCGATGTTTGTGTCGACACCCGAAGGCTCCCCTGTGGCCGGGGGCTCTGTGTGGCCGAAGGCTACCCAAGTACCGAGGGCATGCATGAGCCGAAGGCTCCTGACTTCCACCGTTTTCTCCCAGTGGGTTTGTATGCGTAAAATTAGTTGTCTTGTGAGTTTTTGGGGTCTTCAGCCGTGGGGCCAAAGGCACCCGTATGTGCACCGCAGGCTTTTAGCCCGTTTTGGCGGGTCGGGCGGGCTGGGCTCGGGCCCCATTTTTGTTGAATCGGCCTGGGCGGTTCGGGTCGGGCCCGGGCTTTTTTTTTGTTTTTTTTCAATTTTTTTTTTCCTAGGGCAGGGCCAGGTGTTTTGGGGAGGTTTGGGGTGGGGGTGAGGGGGGGTTGGGGGATAACAAGAAAGCCAAAAAAAATTAAACATTGAACCGGGCCCGGCCCGGCCCGACCCGGTTAGACCCGAACCCGGTATCAACCCGAGCCGATTCCGGGCCCAAGTAACTGGGAAAAAAGCCCGCCCAGGCTCGGCCCGGAATCGGAACCGGACCGACTCGAGTCCATCCCTAATTTCGTGCATCACATTCCGACCTTCATCTGACATTACCCCGACCAAACGGGCCCTAGAAGGCTGTGAGACAAACTGATAAAGGGGTATGTCCTAGAAGGTTTCCGGGTAGGTGTTTTACCTACTCACCCCTTACGTTACTCTACATATCTGGCCTTCCATTTCCATGGCTTCCGCCACTGTCTTGCGCCTCCATCTGTATTGGCTATGGCTCGGTTTCAAGGTTATACTTCAGCTATAGTACAACCTGTCGAATGCTTTGCACCACGATTTCTCTGTATAATTACTATTTAAAAGGTACCCTTTTTTAAATACCCTTTCAATGTTTGACACTTTCATTTCAAATTAATGTAATACTTCGGATTTGTTGAAGTTCACTTATACTTTCAAAAGGGCGTCGTCCACAGTCCACTACTAGAAAATGGAGGATTATAAAGGAACAGAGTAGGAAAAATCATTACTATCTATTATTATGGGTGTTTTTTTAGAGAAACTGGTAAAATAGAAAATGGACTGATCCATTTATGTAGGAAATTGAGTATAACAACATAATACAAAATTAACAATATACTCCTTATAATTTACGTTGGAAAGCATCATGGTTTTTTTATTTATTACTTCAATTTCATAAAATTTGATCAAAAGCTAATCAACATTTCGATTAAAATAATTAAAACTCCGTATTTGATATTTCCTAAAGGAAGCCATACTAACAAGAAAAGCCAAAGAACAGTGTCTTTCCTCTTCAAGTTTTCATTCACGGTCTTTGTGCTATTGGCTGATTATGTTCTTATCCGTTGTAAAACGAGCATCATAGCTTTAGCATGACAAATCCTAGTTCAATAACTAAAACATATGTGCTTTCACTCTTTATGTATTTATTCATAAGACTGATCGCATTGGGGAGGAGTGAACCCAAATGTGAGGTTTTCACCCCAAAATAGTTGCAACTCAGCCCAAAAACGTATAGGGAGGGCATATAATGAATAAAAATGGGATGTGTACACGGCGGGTTACACGCCCGTGTACACAACATAAAAACCCCACCCTCTAAGGAACTAACCCACCCCACCCCCCTTTCTACTGAAATAATCTTCCCCCAATGAAAATACCTGCCAACCGCTTCTCTTCCCTCTCTCCCATGCGCCCCTTCACTTTCCCGAATTCCCACAAAAAAACACCCAAATCTCCTCTCCCGTTTGAACTAAAAACCCACGAAACCCCTCCCTCAACTCATATGTCCACCCCTGAACTTCAACCCACGAAACGTTGTCCTAACTCACGAATTGTGGAATAGGCTCCCTCACCTATTACGTGTTATTACTTGGAAAAGGGAAGATTACGTTGAAGACGACCTCCAGTCTTGGCAAGTTGTTTCAGTTCATGGTGTCCCCCAACAATGGTGAATGTGGAATGATGGTCTTAAGTATTGCGGAGCACCCAAGGTTGTCAAAGTCGTGCGCCTGAGCGCTTAAGCGCACCAGGCACAACGCCAAAGGCCTTCAACGCTCTGCAGAAGCCAAGTCACAACATCCCCTCTGAAGCGCAGGTTATGCGCAGCAACGCTATTAAGCGCTCGCATAAGGCGCCTGAGAGGGGAAAATGTATTTACGTCAACTTTAGTTCCTTTAACATGTGTGGTCAAACAAAGCACCTTTAAGAAGTCCATATTTTTATCAAAGCCCATGTAAATAAGGTCAAAACAACTTGACCTACGCTAAACACATAACGTAAACATCCTCCCGCTCTGCTCTGCTCTACTGTACCTTTGCAACATCCTCCTTTCCCTCCACATCAACCGCAGAAGCTTGCAGCAGTCCAGGCGTCCAGCACTCAACGATCAAAGTAAGTTTTCTTCTCCAGTATGTTTTTTTCATTTTTCAACGGCTACTTTTTCTTTACATACTACCAGTATGTTTTTTTCTTCTTACATGTTCTGTAAACAGGTGTTTAAGAAGTATGTAAAACATGTTTCTCTATGTCTCTTTTTCACATGTAAGAAGTAGTGATGTACACATTTTTTAAGCATCTTTCAGCATGTACACATGTAAAACATGAACACAGTAGACTCTTATTATGTTCTCTACATAAACATTCTGTACTTCTTACATGCTTAAACATGCTTAAACATAAACTTGTTTACAGTAAAAATAGTTAATATGCTTATTAAACTTGTTTACAGTTAATATGCTTAATATGCTTAATATGCTTATTAAACTTGTTTATGGTTAATATGCTTAATATGCTTATTAAACTTGTTTATGGTTAATATGCTTAATATGTCATATAAAAAGTGTTTGTGTCTCTCTATGCATTAACCAATTGTACACGATGCATTGGGTACTTCACTCTTAAAATTATACGGAGTTTGGCACACCAAAGGACTAACGGAAGTTAGTACCATATTCAATTAATTCTACTCTGTATAAAAAACATTCCCCTGACCCTGGGTTGAGCGGTTCTACGTCTTTTAGTTTCCGTTCATAATAGTCGGCGCATAGCCATATGTCGAACAGCCTCGCTCCAGTGCCTAGAGGAGAGAAAGTTAGACTAGCAACGACCAAACTTCCTACTTGTAACAGCCAAATAAACGGCCACCTCGCTTGCCTGCGCCCACCATACGGCAGCAGCGCACTCACCACCTCCCTATGTGTTCACAGGAGAATTTACTCCCAGTAGCTCCTCAATCACAAATCAAAAAGCAGCAGGAGCCGGTTGATAATTTTTCACCTCTTGTCAAATCCTCCACACCTTTTGTCACTATTAAAAGATCATAATTAATTGCTATTAGTTCCATGTGATATACATGCATTATTAACGTACAAGTGCTTTTCATTTTATATACTACGTATATAGGTAAGCTGGTAAGTGTTTTTTATTTACCGTTCAAGACACACTGTTTTATGTACGTTGTTCAATGTTCGTAATAACTTTTGGACATCTACACGTTTTTGTTAGTAATGGTCATTTCTATTACATTGTGTTCAAAAAGTGTAGCTCATTCGGAAATTACCGCCTGTAGTTTGCCTTGTTCGTCTCATGTCTTTGTTTTCATATTCATTTTTATGTCAATCGCGAAAATGTTGTTGCTGTAACATGCCACACTTACAATTCGAGGTTTTTATTTACTCTACTTTACCCACTTATTTTACTTTGATTGCTTTCTTTTTGCAAAAATGCCCTCATGAACAGTTTGAAGTCTTTCCCTTTGAGACAAAGTTTTTTTATTGCTTCAGGTGTTTACAAGCAACCTTTCTATCCCACGAAAATAACCTTTATAATTTCTGTTAGCACGATATGACCACAACAATTATATGTTCAAGTTGAGGAAGATCAACCATATACCCCATTACCCCTTTCACTAACCTACACTCAATATGTGCTTCACTTTTAAATAAACTATCAATGTTGTTCACCTTTAGCCATAACAATATTCAACCTGGGACATGTGTGCTTTGTTTAGCTTAAGACATACTACGTACTACATATGAGTTAATCTTCAACCCCTATACAATACTCTCTCCATCTCGAAAAGGTTGACCAAATTTCCTTTTTTGGATATACCAAAAAGATTTGTCATTTCCATTTAAAGGTAGGAATATGTGGCTAAAATTAAGAGAGAATTCCCTAAATAGGATTAAAAGAGTTTTGAAATTCCAATATAGGAGTATCATGTTTTTTATTCCCTGGATAGGAGTAAATTTATGCCAAGTTTGGCATTACTAGGCTTTAAAACATGACATTTTTTTCAAAACTTGGCAAATTACTCCTATTCAGGAAATAAAAAACATGATACTCCTATTTTGGAATTTCAAAACGTTTTTGCTCATATTTAGAGCAATTTCTATAAAATTAATTCTCCCTTGCTCAAAGATCATTCACTAATTTGTTCTAGGTATGTAGATAATATAATATTGAGATAACTAGCAATGTTATAAGAAGTTAAAAGATCTCCCTGATAGTGGCTGTCTATTAATTACTCCCTCCTTCCCAATTTGTAAGATACTTTACGGTTTACGTTATTTGACTGACGATAAAGTGAATTGATTCCTGTCAACACTCAAATTAATTTTAGAAAATAAAATTTACATATTCAGAAACTACATTAAATCCGCTACAAAACCTGCAAAAAATAATTCAAATTTCATAAACTTTTGATATATAAAGTAAAAGATTAAGAGTGATTTATGTTGACCAAGTGAATAGTAAATGTATCTTACAATTTGGGACTGAGGGAGTACTACGTAATACGTTGTATTGCATGTTGATAGTTACTACGTTTGTTTTCACTTTGTTTAGAAAAATGGGAACAACCTTGTTTATTTGTTTATTAAGGCGGTGTTTTCAAACAATTAGAAATAGTGATTTTCAGCTTTTGACTTTAAAAGATGAAAATTAATGTTTTCAAGTAATAATTTATGTTTAAACTAAACATTTATAAAGCTAAAAGCAAGAAGCAAATGGAGATGTGTTTTAAACTACTTTTCACTTTTTCTTTTACACAAAAACACTTATTTAATCGAATACTACCAACTTTACTTGAACATTTTTTAATTTTCTCAACCACTATCAATTTTTACTACTAAGCATTTTCTCCAAAATCACTTTAAAAATCATTTTTTTAAAGTAGAAGCAACCACAAACACTCCCTAAGCAATTGTAGACAATATATTGTTTACTTCGCTGCTAAAATGATATAGCACAACAAAGGTCTGACGAAAGTTATTTCTTTTCCTTCCCTTTAGACAGTGTCCATAAGAGCTTTATTTTTGAGTGGGGAGTAAAACTAATACCTATATATTAGTGACTAATGTGCTTGTAATGGCATTGGGCATTTAAACGAACGCGCATGGCGCGTTGATAACTAGTATGCTTATACACATAACCTTGTTTACCATTAAACATGTTTAATATGCTTAATAAGTAACTATATACAACATGTTTACAGTTAGTATGTTGCAGTTAGTATGTTTCAGAATGTTTACATGTACAAGTACAACATGTTTACAGTTAGTATGTTTCAGACTTCAGTTAATAAGTAAATTTATTTTTTATATATTGCAGTCTGCATATATAATATATGCCTTGTGGCCCTTGTGTATTTTTTACAGGACATGGAAGGTGGAACTCCAGCCACGGCTTCTGAAGCTGCTAAGTCAACAAAAAATGACCTAGCTTGGAATCACAACTATTGTGCTGACCCAAACAATCGAAAATGTAGTAACTTGCATTTACGGTGGAAAGGAAACAAATGGGGGGCCAAATAGGAGGTGATAGGAATGTGAAAGCTTGTTTGAAATGCCCAGAAGATGTTAAAAAGTTGCTAAAAGACTAGACTATATGCAATCAAAAAAGGATGCTAAGATCAACTACGATAAACTGCTAGAGCATCATGATTTTGATGCATTTCATGATTTGGAGGACGATGACACTGAAGTTGAGGAGCTGGAAACTGATAGTAGATGCCACCTTAAAAGAATTCGTGGTGTACAGAAGGGAAAGGCACCTGTAAAGAAGGGAAAAACATAAAAGGACCTATGGACGCTTTTATCCACAAAAAGCCAGAAACTGTGGTCGAACTTCGAAAGTAAGGAAACTAAAACAGTTGAAGATTGATGAGAAGTTGGATAAGCAAAGAAGAGAGGTAGCTATTCAATACATATGCAACATGTTTTACCATAATGACATTCCTTTCAATGTTGCCCGATCACATTCATTTGAATGTGCTGTTGAAGCAATTGGACAATATGGTCCAAATTTGAAACCTCCTAGCTACCATGAATGAGGGTTACATGTTTCAAGAAAGAAGTTGCCAACATGCAGGATATGCTAGCTGAACATAGAGCTCTGTGGGTGAAACATGGCTGTTCAATTATGGCAGATGGTTGGATTAGCACCACAAGTCAGTGTATTGTGAATTTCTTAGTTCATTCTCTGGCTAGATGTGTGTTTGTCAAATCTGTGGATGCTTCTGCATATTCAAAGACGGGCGCAAAGGTATTAGAACTACTTGATGGATTTGTTGAGTATGTAGGAGAGGCTAATGTGGTCCAAGTGGTTACTGATAATGGCCCTAATTTTAAGTTAGATGGTAAATTGTTAGAAACTAAGAGACTAAACATATATTGGACAACATGTGGTGCGCACTGCATTGATGGGCAGCTGCCTTTGGTTTAAAAAACCTTAAGATGGGCAATGAGTTTGACTAGTTTTATTTATAACCGTGTGGGATTGTTGAACTTAATGAGGAGGTACACAGGGCAAAGAAATCTGATCAGACCCGGGAAGACAAGATTTTGTACTTGCTACCTCACGTTAAAGAGCATCTACAAGCAAAAGGCTAATCTTCGGGCTTTGTTCTCCAAGAGTGATTGGAATTCTAGCAAGTGGAAAAAAGAGGCGGTGGAAAACAAGTCGAAGACTGTATGATGAAGCCTACATTCTGGGATAATGCTTATTACATACTCAAACTTATGGGCCCTCTTGTGAAAACTCTTCGACTTGTTCACAACGAAAGAAAACCAGCTATGGGCTACATCTATGAGGCTATGGATAGAGCCAAAGAAGCCATAATAAAAGCTTTTAATGGAAGAGATGATAAATATAAAGAAACATTCAAAATCATTAATTCTAGATGGCAAGATCAGCTTCACCATCCACTTCACGCAGTTGGCCATTACCTCAACCCTGCCTATTTTTATGCCGATCCGCAAATTGAATTCAATAGTGAGGTCACGACTGGACTGTATGCTTGCATAGCTAAACTGGTTTCTGAGAATGAAGAACAACTTGTTATTATTGATGAATTGTCAAAGTACACAAGGGCTAAGGGTTTGTTTGGCATCAACTTGGCAGTTTTGACAAGGAAGACCAAGGCACCAGGTAACATGCAGTTTTTTATTAATACTTTGTCATTATATTAATGAAAAAATTCTGATTATTTGTCATATATACAATCTGTCAGATTAATGCAGCAATTATATTAATGAATAAATTTTGATTTTTTGTCATATTTACAGCTGAATGGTGGCGCTTGTATGGGAGCACAACTCCCAACTTACAAAAATTGGACATGAGAGTTCTTAGCCTCACGTGTAGTGCTTCAGGTTGTGAGCGTAACTGGAGTGTGTTTGAACAGGTACATTTTAATCAGCACTCCTACGAATTAATTGTTAAACACTTAAACACTTTTAAGTTAAAACACTTAAAGCACTAAAAGAAGTAATTTTTATTTTTGTATGTTCTAGATTCACACAAAGAGAAGGAACAGGCTAGGAATGCAAAAACTAAATGATTTAGTTTTTGTGAAGTATATAATACAACTTTGAAAGCTCGTTTTGACTCCAAAGATATCACAGATCCAATTGCTTTAGACAACATAGATGATTGCAATGACTGGTTGACTGGAAACACTAATCATCAAAGTGCTGGAGATGATTTAGTTTTCAATGATGAGGAAGATGATGGCTTGACATGGGGTGCTATCAGTAGAGCAACAAAAGTGCAAGAACCCTTAAAATATACTAGAAGGCAGTCCACAATTCATAGTGCAAGTCCTAGTCGTAGGCTTGTGGATGAGGAAAGTGATAGGGAAATTGAAGAGGATGTAGGAGGATATAAATCAGATAATGGAGAACAAACAAACTCGGATTTTAATGACGAATAGTCCTGCAAGAAATGGGCAGTTGGACTACAAATCTAAAATCTAATTATGTTTTATTTTCTAGTTTTAGTGTTCAAGACTTTAAGTGAATCATGAGTCATGATTTTACTTTGCTTAATCACTTAATCATGACTTTATTTTGGTCCATCACGACTTTATTTTGGTGAAGCATGACTTTATTTTTAAGAAACATTACTTCTTAATGTATTTCCTTGAATATGGTGAACTGGTACATCATGTTTGAGTGTTGGAGAATAGAATGTGTTATTTTTTCTAAGCAGTGCGCTTGACATGAGTCAGGCTAGCGCTTTTTTGCGCCGTGCGCCTCAGGCGCTGGGCTAACCCTGTCACCTTGAGTGCGCCTAACGCCTTTGACTGGGAGCACCTCATGTTGGACCCCCCATTGATACCGGGGTGCGAGTACGACAATATGCAATTATGTAATTTGGAAGATGAAAGATAACCCGCCTATGATGTCCAATGATGAAGAATGATGTATATTTTTGGTATATGTAATTACAAATACTTTGGTGGATACATTTTTTGGCAACTTAAGGTGAACATACATTGGTGGTTAGATGTAGTCTTGTACAATATTGGTCGTGTCATGTTGTACAATATTGCTACAATGTGCTTGCCGATTTTATTTTTTGTCTGTGGCTAAGCTACATTGTCTGGATTTTGTGATATTGTATTTGTATGACGTTTTGCAACAAAGAAATGCTAGATGTGTGACCACTTCTATTGTATACCACGTGTAGCATGATTTACCGACAAATGTATACAACAAAACATTTTTGTGGGAATGATCCCAAACTTATACACCACTTTGTGCGTTTACTGTACCAAAAAGATTACATTGGAACTATTGTTGACTACACCAACAAAACATTGGTTGTAAATCATTCCAAACGTATACGGTACAAAAAACATAACATTAAAACTATTTACAATAGTTACAGGTCAATTGTTTCAAAAGAGAAACTTTTAAATCTAAACTGTCTTGGTATTGTAGTGTCATAGTATTGTTGACTACACCAATATTGTTTTGTGTACACTTACCAACACCATATTCATGAGTGTACCCTACACAACATCAATGTCTGGTGTCAATTGATTTTTATGCGCACTTGGCTGAAAGGAAAAAAGTATCAATTATGTCTGCCAATATGAAATTTGTCTGCGCATATGTGTATAATGTTTGTGCAAGTATAAACATTGTCTGTTCTTCAAAGACAGTCCAGGGCAGCATACCTTTGACTAGTTTTTCCCTTTTCTAGTGGCCCCTTCAAACGGTTTTTCCTGGGAGCACCCTTCCGTTTTGAAGACTTAGGATTATTAATTTTGTGTGGTTGGTCAACAAGCACACTTGTTCCCGGTTGAGACGATGGTGTCATCACACCACATGTAGAAGAATGAGAAGGAGGGTGGTCATGTTGTTACAATTGCCTTTGAAGCCACATCATTATGCTCTTGCACTTTTCTTCATCATCAGCAATGGTGTTTGCAAGGGTTTTAAAAGTCATACCTATCAAACCTTTGTTGTTCCACCGTAGTGATCCAACCATCGTTGTTAATTTTCACTCATGTGTAAGCTCTTTTGATAACTCTTCATCATCTTGACATTATGTAACAATCATACAACACTTTAACTCCACGCCGAAGTACCACCATAAGGAAATGTCTACCTGGAATGCCTCGAAACTCGAACAAGTGGCAACTACACATTCCTTTGGATGTTGAAATATCATACTCAATCATGAAGTTCCAACTCTTATCAAACCCATTGATGACCCGATTCTCTTTCACTTCAAATGTCTTACCATTAATGTTGGGTAGGACGTAACAATACAATTGATCAACTAATTCGGTTTGGAACTCCTTGAACTTTACTAGGGTGTAAACACGTTGCACTTGTTTTTCAATTGCAAACGACGTAACACATGGAATCATTTTAGTCAAAGAATTACCATCGGCTTGAAATTCTTTTTCAACCTTACATCTTAAAGCGCGTCCATATTGATCGACAAACTGTTTCAGACTAGTTTTAGAATGAACATACGCGTCAAATAAGGCGTTCATGATTTCACTTCGTTGAGTGGTTGACATACCAGTCCAAAAAGTAGGTTTCAAGTAATAGGGGAACCAACGATGACGTTCGTTGTACATCACCAGCAACCATTCATCATGCTGAAGTGAAAACCTGACAACACAGACAATAGTTACACTGGGAGAATAGAAATGTCTGTTCAGGGTTATAATTTCTATAAAGCACAGATGATATACTTCCTCTACAGACAATACATTCTGCTATGCATAAAAAAAATTATTCATGTACATAAAAACTTACCTTTGGAGCATAGCTTCCCAGCCAGCCTCAAACTCTATAGTGTGCTGTGAATCATAAACTAGTTCATGAATGTTGAACATTATGTGATCTTTATCCGCAAGCCCACCCATTTTTTCGGGTAACTTTTTCATGATGGGCCACAAACACCAATGGTTCCTTGTATCCGGGAATACAATTTGAATTGCATTTTGCATGGCACGGTCTTGATCGGTTATAATACCATTTAGAGCACAACCCTCCATGCAATCAAGCCAAGATTTAAAGAGCCAAACAAAAGTTTGTGTATCTTCATTTGAGATTAGGCCACATCCAAAGGTAATCACATCTCCAAAACTTTTGTATGCATATCTACTTCTATTATCCACCCAAAATACATTTCTCAACTGTTGGGAATATTTTATGGTGTCCAATCTAATTAAATATCTTTGTATTTGTGTAGTTATTAATTAAATGTGTAATATGGGCCACAAATGTATTTCAGCCCATTAGCCCTCTTGTAAGCCTTAAGTTAGACATCCTTATGTATAAAACGATGCTAACTTAAGCAAACCCTAAGTCTCACATAGATAACATTAACGCACATATCATTCTAACGAGAGAGAGCAGCAGCTTTGTATTTTCAATACTTGATTCTGTATTTCTAAATCTTTGTTGGTATTGAATCAAAGCTTTGTATGATTGTTGAATGATATAGGGACTAACAACTGGTATCAGAGCCGAGCGTGAAATCGATTGAAGAAATTCTGCAAAATTTAGAGCCGATCGAGAACTGATCAGAAGAAGACCATTCGCAGAAGACTCTATTTTTCTCCTGTTTTTCATTATCTTCGTTTTTAGCCTTTGTAATTTGTTGTTTGATCGAAACCTTGTAAAAGTTATACTGTTGAAACCGCCTTTCAATAATGATTCAGCGATATATCTTACTTTTTTGTTTTAGCAATTTTTTAGTTTCGAAGATCTTGGTTCCAAGATCTCGATATTCAAGTTTTTACATGCTACATGAAGATCTCGACATCGATTTTTACATAGGAGGAATCTCGAGTTCAAGGGCTATTCAAAACAGTCTTTGTTTTTGAAAAACTCAAAGTTTTAATTTTGCAGGATCTCGACATTCAGGATCTCAAAAAATCTCTCATAGTTCAATTTTCGAGATTTTCAGCGACATCGCACTGTTTTGGCCATAACTTTTGACTCAGTGATCCGATTTAAGCGAATCATGCCTTGTTGGAAAGCTAACGAAAGGATCTACATGAATTCATGGGGTTTACCTCAGAACCCTTAACCACACGCCCTCACTCGTTGCTCTTGAGAGAGATATCATCATCTTTCCGAGAAACATTGTCAATCACCGATGTCAAGGTCAAAACTTAGGCAAATGCGATCAAATACTTCCAAAGCCAAACCAAAGGTCAAACCTGGTCTAAGATACGTATCAAGGTCCAGAAAATTGCAAAAAATTCAATCAAGCTCACGCCTACGGTCAACATTCAACAATCAACAACAATGGATGTCTCATCTCCTTGAACATGTACTTGTCAAATTCATAACAAGGATGATGTTATTAAGGAACTAAAGGAGAGACTAGACAATAATTACAAGGTCTTAGTTTAGTGTCAAGATCGGAAAACCTCATTTAGCATTCAATTGGAAAATGAAAATGAGAACGTTAAATGGATGACACTTGAAACGAAAGAGCTAACGCTCAAGGTAGCTGATCTGACTTTTAGATTGCAAGAAACTGAGGCAGAACGAAACACAGCAAAGGCAGATAGAGACTTTATTCTCAATCAGAGGAATTCCTTTTACAGCAAAATCAAAGAGCTTGAGGACTTGATTGTAAAAAGGGGACAATCTGAGCAAACCATTTTCTTAAACCAACAAAATGACACTCGCTTCTACAATTCCAAAGATGGACTCGGTCTAAAGAATCCATGTAATCTCAAGAAAGTAGACTGTATTACACTTTATGACTACAATTACATGAATCTTGGATTCATTGAGAAGATGGTCTATTTTAGTGAAGATGAGACAACTGCGGAAGAAGACAAGAAAAGAGCTAATCTTGCAGCTGAAGTTCCTTTTGGTTATGATGCTTTGAACGAGAGTTATGACTCAAAAGAGCCTCCAGTGACTGCTGCAGAAGAGATTCCTACCTTTTATCCGGAAAAGAAGACTGTGCAAGATACAGAGGAACCTTCAACTTCAAAGCCTTTAGTCAAACTAGCAAACATGTCACCTCTCATGAGAAAGTTTGTTGAGTTAACAGAGACTTTTTATAAAGAAAAACAGGCTTTTGAACTGGAAAGAGAACAGCTCTTGAAAGAAATATCTTTGCTCCGAACATCCTCTCAATCTAGCACAGGGTCACAATCTCCTTCTCCCCCATCCTCTGAAAAATGTATTGAAAAATCAACCGATGATCCTAAATCTTCTACCACACACTCCGAATCTCCTTCTCTGACAAAGGCCCATGTGAAGAGGAGAGTGGAAAGGAGAGGAGAATGGATAGAGGAGAAGTTAAGAAGAAGAAAGAAGGAGGAAGAATCTCATCTAAGGAATAGGAGCCGATGTTCGAGTGCTCTGTTATATGCTAAAAGGAAGACATCTTTCAAGAACAACTACTGTTCAAGCTCTTCTACTCTAAACTGTGTTAAGTCAACAAAAACTTGTTGCTTCGAGTCTGATGCCTCCTCCAACTAAGACAAAAATGTGAATGTTCAGAGATGCCCAAGGGAATCAACTTCTGTGAAGGTGAACGTTGAGGAGGAGTATAATTTTCCATGTTTAAGGTATCCCCTCAAGGTTTACTCACTCAGACACTTGAGAAGACTCTCTCAAGAAACAATCTTAAAAGACTGTCTGTCTGAACATTCACTCACTACTGGTTAAACCTCTCCTGCTCCAAAGATCAAACAACAATGGATCCCAAAGGCTGAAGCTGAAAAGTTAAGACAATCAAACTCTTCTCAAACAGCTAGCCTAGGATCCCAAATCAAACAAAAAGTGCAACAGTTCTTCAATGCTGCAAAGGAAGGACCCATCTGAAAATGGGTACCAAAGAAGACCTAATCTGTTCCGCTAAGTCTGTCATGTGTGGTAACTGATCCGATTGCTCCACACACATGGCGGATAATAAGACAAGCTGTGAGCAATTGACTGGTGCACATTATGAAAGCGAGTACCGGCACGTACACTCCCGAATAAGCTGAAAATCATCAAATGCACACCTCAACACCAACACGTGCCAAGAACGAAAAACAAGTGCACATTCT